CCTAGAGCAGGAAGGAGCAGGCTCCAAGGACCTGGAGTGGGGATACTTGGTGATGGGTAACTGAGTGTGCTGTTCTTGAACATAGACAATGGACAGCTGGCCAGGTTGCTTGACTTGTAAAACCCAAAAAGGCCAAAGGAGTGGAAGGCAAGGTCTGCTGCCATGATGGGGGGGTCCGATCCCTCGCCCATACCCGGGCCCCTTGAGAAGAACACCCCTGCAAGCTAGTACAGTAGATGTTCTCAATCCTTCTGCAAAGGACTTAACACTGGGGAGAGGAACACACACCTGGAGGGGGCTGGACACATGGTCTGAGACAACACTTATAATGGCTCCAAAATGCTATTAGGGTGGGGACATATGGAAGCCGGGTGACAAAAGAGGTAGAGGACCAAGACAGGGACCCACATGTGGGCCCCCCATCCCTGAGGGCCTAATTGGAATGGCTGCACTTAGTTAGCAGCAGGGAGAACGCTTTCTCTGGTCTCCTGACCTGTAGAGTAAGGGCCATTATGTTGGGAAGAGCTGAGTGGAAGGCTTACAAACTGCCCAGCCCTGGCCAAGGTCATCAGCCAGCAACAGTGTTGTGCCCACGTGGCCACCTCAGAGACCTGAAGGATGCAGGGATGGCGGCCCCACCACAGCATCCTCTGGTCCACCCATGTGGTCCCTGAACTGTTGCTGGCTCATGCCTGGTGCTAGGGAACCACTGGAAAGTGCCAGTTCAGCCACAGCTGCCAGGCTGGATGCAGTGCCCATAACGGACAAAGCAACAGCCCTGGGCACTCGGGAAGGGGCCCTCAATTTGGCAAATGTGTTCTCAGCTCCCATCAAAGCAGACCCAAGAGGCTACATACGTCACGGGATGGACAGCAGTGCACATTCATGGTCCTGCCCCAGAGCAGCGTCTGCTCTGTCACAATGTGGCCCCCAGGGACTTGGACAGCTGTGACATCCACCGCAGCTCAGCAGTCACTGTGTGGATGACCTGATGCTAATCAGATCTGGTGAACAAACTGGGAGTGGCAAGTGCTCCAGACACCCTAGAAAGATGCCTGCAGGACAGAGGGTGGGGCAAAGTCCACAGAGGGTGGGCCACACAGTGAAGGGAGGGGTTGGAAGAGGTCAACTCTTCTGTAAAGGGCAAATGTGGCCCTGGCCCTCCTCCTCCAGGAAGGAGCACTGGCCCTGGAGGGCCTCTTTGGGTTGAAAGACAGCATATGCCACCACTGGGGAGACTGTTCCTGCCATCATCGGCCATACAGAGGCTACCAGTGTCAGAGTGGGGCCCAGAAAAGGCAAGAGCTCTACCACAGGCTCTGTGGCAAGGTGGCTGGCCGTAGGTACTGAACAACCTGGGCCCCTGGTTCCCCTCACTCACATGTGCTGGGCTGTCCCGGAGGCTCTCCTTCCAGCAAGTCCAAGCCCCAGCCGGGAGATCAGATCTGGCTTGCACCCTGGAAACTCCTGCCTGAGAGGAAACGGGCAGACTGAGGTGCTGGGACACCCCTGGCTTCCTCACCCCTGGACTGGGGTTCTAGTGGGGCCCAGGATGAAAGCTCAGACACAGGGAATCTCCCCAGGAGGCTGAGGGGGGGGGGAGCAGAGCAGAGGTGTGTGGGCTCAGGGCAGGGAGGACAATGGGCTCAACCGAAGTCGTGAGAGAAGGGGCCACTCCACTCACAGGGGCAGCAAAGTGCTGGAAGACACCCTACCATGGAGATGGGAGAGGAGGCATCGGCCCTGGCAATGGGCCCAGAGACTCTATCATCTCCACTTGGGAGTAGAATGGCTTGGCTCTGGTCCCCAAGTCACAGCCTGCCTGGCTCCTCCAGGACCCAACCGGAGCTCTGAATGGGGGGGTGGGGAGGAGGGAAGGCCTGGGTCTGAGACCCCTCACCCAGTGAGGCCAGGTCTCTATAAATCTCCAGCATCACGTCCCTCTGCCCTCTGCCCAGGGTCCAGACACACCCCTTCTTCCATGGTCAGTAGGCCCTGAAACAATACTTGTGCTGCCATGGAGTCAAGGTGTCAGTGGCAGGGTGGAGGCACACAAGAGGGAGGGGGCAGATGGCTCCCCAGCAGGCATGTGGGGAAGGTGGGTTGTGGGGTACTGTGGGACACCTGGACTTCATCCCAGGCACCTGCCTGCCAGGGAACCCTTAATTACAAGGGGTACCTGTACTCCCAACCTAACCTGTTCAGCTGACCTAATTTCTCTCCACCCACCATCCCCAAAACTTGCTCCCCACTGTCTTCCTTGTAGAATGTCCCCCTTCCCAGCCTCAGGGAGGCGTCCAGGGAAGAGACGATGGGACACAGGGGTGGCTCCTGTGAGTCCCCTCATCCTGGGGAGGACCTGGGACTCCAGGCTCCAGGTGCGGCGGGCTCCGAGGAAAGATGTGATAGGAGTCAAGGAGTCCCAGGCTCCGAGGGAGACGCGCTCTCTTAGGGCCAGCCGGCCATGCACTGCATGTCGGCTCTTGGTTGCTCCGGGGCGAGGGGAGCAGCGGGGGCAGGGTGGCTGGCCCGGTGGCTCCGGAAGCAGCCCCGGCCAGTCAGCAGCCCTTCAGGTCTGGTTCTCCGGGGGCCGACGCTCTGCGCTACCGTGAGCACCGGCGCTCGGTCAACACATAGTAAAGCTGGAAAGCTGGGCTGGCACAGGGCGGACACGGCGGGAGAAGCCGAAGGGCGCTGGCCGGGACTGGCTGCTGGTGGTCGCCGCAGCGCGGGACGGACTGCGGGGCAAAACCCACGGCGGGCGCAGAGCCCACGGGCCGGCTAGGCCTACCGCCTGGGTCCAGCAGGCGCTTACGGCGGTCCGGCCGCGGTCTGGGAGGCACGTCCCTGCCAGGCCCAGCGCGCCCGCGAGGCTCTCGCCCGGCGGGTCGGTCCTCGGCGAGGAGGGCGGTGGGCGAGGCCCGGGCCCCACCTGGCCCCTCCCTCCTCTTTGTCTCCAGGAGCCCCGTCTCAGATGCCCCGCCCTCGGCCAGGGTCGCAGCCCCGCCCCTTTATTCTTCCTCCGCCGCTCGGGCTGATCCACAAGGACCGCCTCCCTCGCGTGGGCCCGCGCTCAGGCCCTGCCCGTGGCCTCGACCTCTCCTCCCGCGCGTGTACGCTCAGGTTACGTCCCGCACAGTTTCTAGGTTCCGATGCCCTCGCTTGCGCGCGCTCAGGTCCCGCGTCAGTCGGTTACTTTCCCTGGCTCACTTGGGATGCTTGCTGAAGGCACAGACAACGGGCTTCGGCGCGAGTGTTGTGGTTCCATGTGTCTGAGTAGACTCAGGAATGAACTTTTTTGTTGTTTTTTGGGGGTTTTTTTAGTTTTTTTTTTGTTTTTGTTTTTTAGCTGAGCCATCCTGCTACCTGTTGGCAGCTCAGCGGCTGCTCAGCTCGGGCCGGGCATCGAACCGCTGTTGCTCAGAGCTCAAACTCTTGAGCGAGCTCTTAACCAACTGAGCCACTGAGCCACTCAGCCGGCCCAGGAATGAACTTGAACAGGATCTCCTGGAGACTCTGTTGAAAGCAGGCTTAGGAACCCTGTCTTGGATGCTCGTGTTCCTAGCACAGTCTGCATCCTCTCCACTAGCCTGGGCAGTGCTGCCATGGACCTGGGAAGAGGGGCCCTGCTCTGGGCCCCCACGGCAGAGGGCCTCGAGTCACACACTCAAGAGTGCCTCTGTCCCCCAGGATCTGGGCTTGGCGCTTGCACAGCTCTGTCTTTAAGAAAAGGAAGAAAGCAAGAAAAAGAGAGAGAGGTGACTGGTCCAGATGCCAGGAAGGTTTGTGGTTTCTTGACTGCTGGCAGCTTTTAAACCTGGTGTTGGAAACATACTGCTTCCAGGTACCAGGACAACTTGAGCCATGGACATGCTGCTTAGGGAAGAGGAAAGGCAGGTGAATGACGTCGCGAATCCTTCGCAGGCCCTTGATGCAGCACAGAGGAGCAGCAGTGCGTGGTAGTGCGGACAGTCCCTTTTTTTGCTCCTCTTTTGTTGCCATTATCCTGCAGAGACATGACCCCCCACCCCAAATGTGGTTCTGATGTGGACTTGTGAGGCCACTTACACACACCAAGAGGTTTTGAGACGACTTCCTACTTACATAAGGAGGCTTTTCTGGGTGCACCAGGCAGGCGTCTAAAAATGGCTTGAGAGGGCACGGAAAGCAGACTGGTTTTGGGGTTTTGATTGTGGTTAGAGGGAGGGCCAGGATGAGGGTTCCCACTTGCTGGCAGGGACTTGGAAGGAACAACCAGGCTTTCTTATCAGCTTGCCCAGATGTGAGGCCAAGGGAACAGGGCGAAGTGAGGCTTGAAATCTGCCCGCAGTCAGACATCTAACCACGCAGGCTGTATCTTTATGCAGTTCGTGACTTCATTGGTTCCCATGAGTTAGTGTAGTGTTCACAATATCTGTAAATTGTGCATTATCAAATAATTCACATTCCTTTTAAGCATGTATATTTGTAGGTCCAGAGGTCATGCATGCAGCTTAATACCGAGGGGATGGTGCCTCCGCCGCCGTGACGCCTGCACCGGGCAGCGGTGCGCAGAGCTCCGCCCGGTTTTAGCGTCGGCATTTATAGCTCACCGGAAACTAAGCCTCTCTTCAGTATTTACACTGGGTGACAGGCCACGCTCAGAGGTGCCGGGGCGCAGAGGCTGCGACCCCCGCCCGTCCCCGGCTCCCTCCTCGCCCGCGTCGCCGCGGCCCGGAAGTCCCAATCCCCGAGAGGCCGGCCCGCCAGCCCCGGCGCGCCTGGAGCAGCACCGGAAGTTCCCCGGGCGGGGTCCGGGGCCGACTTCCGGCCGCGGGGTGCGGGGGGTCGCTGGGGCTTTGTCGGCGGGCCTGCGGGGCCGGCGGCCGGGGGTCCGTGTGCGGGGCGCTCGCCGTCTTCTCGCCGCTGGACGCCGGGTGAGTGGCGCGTTTCGGGCCGCAGGCGGGGGCGGGCGGGCTGAGCGCGGCCCGCCCTGCACGGGTGTCCCGGACTCTGGGCCTCCGTAAGCCGGTCTCCCCGCAGCTGTCACGGCCGATGGCGGGACTGCAGGGCGGCCTGTGGCCCGCAGCTTCTCTCCCTCAGGCATGTCATGTGGGCAAATGCCCGGCTCCGCTCCCTCGGTTCCTTTCCCAGTGTCAGGGGCCACCCACCCGGCCGTGGCGCCTCTAGCTTCGGCGTCTGTGTCGCAGTTCTCTAGCCCGCGACCCTGCGCCGTGGCCTGGGGGTCCAGGTGAGAGGACAGGTGCGTGTTGCCCAGCTCTTTTGTTCTAAGCCCACCTCCTCTCCCTGGAGCCCGAGGGAACGCTCCACATGATGCTGGGAACGCGGCCTGGGCCTCGAGCCTCGCCGCTGGAGGAGAGGCAGAGCCCGCACCTGCCCTGGTGGGCGTAGAGGCGGCAGGAAGATGGGACGAACAGGTTTGCCTCCCACCCTCGGGCATGAAGGGGACTCCCCCGGGGGGAGAGGTGGTTCGGCCGCACTGTCCTAGCTCTTCCCTGAAGGTTCCTTTTCCCTGAAAGTCTTCATTAATCCCAGTGGCTGTCTTACTGAGTGTAAATCATTTTAAACATTAAAAAAAACACAAACAGAAGATAGTACTGACTTCCAAAACAAACAAAATCAACATCCTACCTCCCAGTTTCTAAAATTAAAAATAACAAGGCTTAATGTACTAGCTTACTTTTCTAACACTAATCCCAGTTGATCTAAGCAAAATGTCCTGTTAAAACTGACTTGGGAAGGGTACAGATCTTTCACACTGGGGAGATGGGTACTGGAGGCAGACCTGGATTTGAGCCTTACCTCTGCCACCTTCTGGTTTAGTGACCTTGGGTAGTTGATTTTCTGTCTTAGCCTCCTGGTCACCCCAAGTTTTGACCCATTGAGGCCCGTGAAGAGGGAAATGTTCCCTTCCTACTGGTCAAAGGCTAGGTTGGAGCAACAGTGGACTTCCCCAGGCTGAGTACCAGTAGACAGTCTTTCCTGCCCACTCACGGGCAGCATGGACCCCCTGCGCCTCCCAGCAGGGCCTGCACAGCAGGGCCCACACCAAATGCAGGCTGGGAAGAGCAGAATAGACCATGTGCCCTGTGGTGGAGCTGGGCACCGCATGCCCAGTTACCCTCCCACACCTTTCATTGGGCTGAGCCCCTCGGGGAGGAGAAAGGGTCGGGCAAGTGGCAGAATACTCACGAACAGCCCGCCTCAGGACTCCACGGGCACAGGACGAATGCTACTTCCAGGGCCTGATCTGTAGTAGGGTCTCAGTGAGTAGCTGCACACCGATATGGCGGACAGGGAGAGTGCCAGGATGTAAATGGGGAAGTGCTACAGGTGGGGGGGGGGCACAGTGGGACCCTGTCTTTATTTCTGAAACTCGTGTGTACATAAGTAAATATATAACTGATGAACGTATGTAAACAGCTAACAGTGGTTATCTGTTGAATTGTGGGGGATTTTCATTGTAGCTTACATTTCTTTATCATTTGAAACATTTTTATAATATGTATCTAGTGTCTTTAATTGCTAAGAATTAAAAAGATCTAAAAGTAAAGTGAAACAGGATATAAGACTAAATAGGATGGTCCCGATTTCATAAAATATTGGTGCAGAAAAAGGACGAGTGAAAATGTTAGCTGTAATCAACTTGAGTAGTGGGATTGAAGGTAATTTTCTTTTTCTTTTTTAAGTTTCTCCCAACTGGCATAATTTACCTTTATATCTTGAAAAATAACTGTTGGGTTGCAAAATTTTTTTCGTTGCAAAAACGCGTCATGACTTTTCCGACAACCCAATAGTTAAAAGTAATTCTTATAAGTGGGAGAAAGGTTTTTTTAAACCATGGTAGTGGGCCTTTAACTCAGAAAATCATTCTCAGCGAATGCAACCAGGCAGTGGTTGTAAATGCTGTGCCCCAGAGCCACACTTTGGGCCACTGTCCCCAGGAGGCTGTGGCCAGACTTGTCAGCAGCTCTCATGTGGGTGGACGTGCCTCAGAGACTGAACTCAGCCTCTCTCTGGTCTGTCATTGGCGAGCGGGTTCAATACCCTTTTCACAGCTGCTAACAGTCAGGCTGTCGATGAGCGTCATTTATCGTGGGTTCAAGTTGCTGTAAGAGATTCAGAAGTAGTGTTTCCAACAAGAAACCTGATTTCTCATGTTCCTTCTTGGAGCCGGGTGGTGGCCGTCTTCCTCCCCCGGCAGGAGCCTGGCTTCTCTGCTGGACCTCAGTCACAGGGTCACACCCAACTCTAGGTGAATCTAGGAAGAGTAGCCACTTGCTGGGTGGGCCACGTGCCCACGAACATTTCAGGTGGGATCGCTGTCACGCAGAGGAAGCGGGGATGGTGGGCAGTCCTTAGTCTCTGCTACCGTTTACCCTTCGTCCCACCCCAGGCCATACTCAGATACTGCCTCCAGCCCAGAGCCAGGATCTCTGGTGACCTGTGGCTTTCTTCAGCAGGCGCCAGTGCAGCTTCACACAGTCACACTCTAAACCCGGACAAGTCCCAGTCTCCCCATATTCGTGTGGTCTGCAGCACCCAGCGGAAGGAAGAGCTGGTGGACCAGGGTAGCCGCAGAGATGCTCCCACCTAGCAAGGGGAGGAGCCCCAAACTCACTGCAGTTGCTGGTCCACAGCCACAGTGGCATTTGCAGACGTGTCCTGGCAGGTGGCCACTAGAGCCAAGCAGTGGAAGGCCCGTGACCCGGCCGTCACACTGCCGGTGTACACCGAGCAGAATGAGGGCCTCCGTCTTCCAGAAGACAAGTACAGGAAGTGCAGAGTGGCTTTGTGCGTATTCCCAGACTACAAACAGCTCAGGTGCTTGTGCCTAGAATAGCGGGGCATAAAGTGATGTTTTCATAGTGGCACGCTGGGCATCAGCGGGAAGGCATTAGATTCAGGGTTAGCAGACACCTGTGTAGGGTGGTGAAAACGTTCTGAAATTAGCAGTAATGGTTCCACAACCTTAGGAATATTCTACAAATACTGAAGTGTGCACTTTAAAATGATGACGTTGTGGTATGTGAATTCTATTTCAATAAAAAATGGCACAGGTTCAAAAGCAGACAAAAGGGAACATACTGTATGATTCCATGTAAATAAATGTAAAAAACGGGTAGAATTCACTTACAGCAGGTGTGTCAAACTGGCGGCCCACGGGCCGCATGCGGCCCTCGACGTAATTTTTTGTATACTCGTCTTCAGTAGTTAAAGGGTTAACGAGGGAATTGTGTGTACGGTATTGCCTCAATCTCCCCTAAGCGCTATTTTCTTCATAACAATTTTTTCTATTTTATTTTATTCCAGAGCATCATGGCCCACAAAAAATTATCTCGAGGGTCACATGTGGCCCACAGGCCGCCAGTTTGACACCCCTGACCTACAGTGATGGAAATGGTGACCCTTAGAGAGGAGGCTTTCTGTTTACAGACGTGTTCTGTGGGCACACAGGTGTACACGAGGAGTTCATCAAGGTGTGTGCACTGTATGCAAATTATAGCTCACATAAAAAGAAATGTGTTGAAAGGGTGCCCTGGGGGCCGGCCGAGTGGCGCGATGGTTAAGAACTCGCTTGGGATGCCAGAGGGCCCCGGTTCGGATCCCACATATGAGGGCCAGTGACACTGCCCTCCACAGCTAAGATGCTGAACGACAGCTCAACCTGGAGCTGGGCTGCCATGAGTCGCCGGCAACGGCGTAGGCTGCACTCCCTGTGGCAGTGGGTTGCCATGGGCTACCGTATGTAGCCAGCAGCCAGCGTGAGCGGCCAGCAGCCGCAGTGAGCAGCCGTCCAGAAGCCGGCGACTGATCTGCCTCGCCAGAGAAGAGCGCAATGATGGTGCCAACTTGGGCCAGTGAAGCAACATCCTCCACAACTAGATTGAAGAACAAAACGACAGCAACTTGTCTGTTCCCCTTCCCCCAATTCCCCAGCACTGTTCCCATCCCCCAATTCCCCAATAAAAATCTTTAAAAAAAAAAAAAAAGAAAGGGTGCCCTGGTCACAGTGCTCCCTCGCACTGGCTCTGCCCTCAGACGTGTGACCTTGTGCTTGGCGGCTGTGTTGGAAATGGGTTTTGAGGGCTGCAGTAATCTGTTTCCCGCTGGTGCAGATTTGGGCAAGAAGTGATTGTGTGGCCCCCCTGGAAATGGACTCAGCTGGGGAGAGCTGTCAGGTGACACACCTGTAAGGAAGGCAGGGTTGGGCAGCAGGATGTCCCGGTGGGGCTTGGGTTGGGGTGATGCACCAGAGTCGCCCCAAACAGAGGCAAGGGCACGCTGGGTTCCTGTTAGCAGTTAGGCATTGGCTGGGGTGACGGAGGCTGAGTCGAGATGGCCCTCCAAGATTCCTGGCTCCTGAGGGACATATGCCTTCCAGCTGCCACGGGGGGGATTTTGTGGTGCAATTAAGGTGCCAGGCGGGGAGGTTCTCCAGGTGGGCAGACCTCATCATGTGAACCCTTGGAAAGCAGGGTTTTCTGCAGCTGGTCACAGAAGAGACATCAAAAAGGGAGTCCATGAGCTCCTGCCTGGAAGACGCAGGCAGCCCTAGGAGCCAGCAGCCAGCAAGGAATTGGAAGGTCCTACAACTGCAAGGAACTGAATCCTGCCAACAACCCGAATGAGTTTGGAAACAGGTTTTCCCAGAGCTTCCCGATGAGACCTCAGCCCGGGCGACACATGTGACCACAAGCAGGGTCCCAGTCGTGCTGGGCTGGACTTCTGGCCTACAGCACTGAGATGACGTGTGTGTGCATTTTTCTGCTGCTAAACTTGTGAATTGTTATACAGCGTTGGATGGATAATTACGAGTGAGTTCTCCCGGGAGAGGGCAGTGCCTTGGGGGAGGTGGAGTCCTGCCCGAAGGCAGTTCCCAGGGTGAGAATTCCAGAGCTGGAGGGAGGGTGTCACTGAAGAGGGGAGTTGGGCACAGCACCCCAGTAACCATGTAAGGTTAAATGACCATTGGCTGAACAAGCTTTTCCAAAGTCAACAGACCTGTGTAATGCAGACCATGCAGATCACCAGAGCCCCCTGCACCCCTGCCAGTCATTATCTTCTCCCTAAAGACCATCACTGTCTCAATTCTCCCATTGGTTTTGTCTGTTTTTGAACTTCATATAAATGGAATCATACAATATGAACCTTTTGTACCTGACTTCTTTGCCTAGCATTACATCTGTGAGATTCATCTGTGCTTTTGTGTGTGGCAGTTCTTTTTCTTCTTGCTATATATTATTTCCTTGTAGGAATACTTGTCAGTGTATCCGTCCCCCCGTTGATGGCTCCTGTGGTGTCGTGAAGAGCACTGCTATATGCATCCCCACTCTAGACTTCTGAAGGGCAGGCTTGGTGTCACTGAGTAGATGAGAAGGTTGCTTTTAGTGCACAAGTGGAGGTTTGCCTTAGATTGGATCGAGGACAGGTTAGCCCATGTCATAGGGGAGGGTATGGTGTGGGAACAGACAAGGGTAGGTTGGTACATGGGAGAAAGTGAACATTCTCGTAGCATTGCTTCTATTTGCTCATCAACTGAGAGGGAGGAGTGTGTGTTGGACATTTGAGAAGAAAAAGCAGCAAATGATCTAGAAGCGTTCGGGCAGTGTGAAAATTGCTGGGAGCTCTCAGTGCTCCATTAGGCAAGGGGTTATGGATATATAGAGAGCTCAGCAGTGAGGATGCAAACAGGTCAGGAAGCAAGCCGAATTCAACCCAAGTGAGGTTTTCCCACTCGAGTATGATAGAGGAAGAAAAGGGCAGGGGAGTTAGGCCTGATATGCAAGAGAATGGGTTTAGTGTACGAGTATTACCCAAGTGAATACAATACCACTGACCAAGGGATCCAGGCAGAGCAAGTGGGGAAGGAAGGATGTGAAGGAATGAGGGACTATGAAGAGGTGGTAAGATTGATGAATTTGTATTTCTTTGGAAATATGTCTTGGTTTTCGTCATGGAGTCCAAGCCATATCCCTACCCATCTGCCACCCAATCAGTCTGTCCCCTGGAGTTGGCTGGTGGAGCCCCAAAGAAACCTTCCTAAATGGGGGAGGCTGTTTGGGGTGAGATGAGCCCTGTGGTGGCAGTGTGTTGAGTCAGGAGTGTGGGCAGAGGAAACACCTTCCTCTCTTCCACTCTGGCTATGTTTTACCTCCCACCTGCTCCCGCAGATTCCTGTCTTACTGAGGGGGAAAGATAATCTTATTCTCTTTTTTTCAGATTCTGATACAGGAACTGGTGACAAGAAGGTGACTCGGGAGCCTGAATTTCTGAGGATGGAAATCCGCATAAGACAATGTCAGAAACACTCACAGTGATGGAGCCCCCTGCTCCTGAGTCTGGGGGGGCTCCTGAACCCAGATTGGGGGGGCTGTTGGGAAACGTGGAAGGGGAGAGCCTGCGGAGTTCCCTGTCTCTGGAGGGAGGTTTCAAGCAGGTGAGAGTTACCCACTGGAAGATCCAAACAGAAGAGGCAGCCGAGGTGGGTAGTGAATCAGAAGGAAGTCCAGTTCTGAGCTCAAACCTTCTCATACTTCAGAGAGAACTTACAGAAGGGGAAGCCCACCCATGTGAGACTTGTGGAAAAAGCTTCCCATTTAATTCAGACCTAGTCAGTCATCAGATTTCTCACACTGGGGAGAAACCTTACAAATGTGATCAGTGTGGGAAGGGCTTCAGCCAGAGCTCCCACCTTGCTGGGCACCAAAGAGTTCACACTGGAGAAAGACTCTATGTGTGTAATGCGTGTGGGAAAGACTTCATTCACTATGCAGAGCTCATTGAGCATCAGAGAGCACATGCAGGAGAAAAGCCATTCAAGTGTGCTCAGTGCGGGAAAGCGTTCTGTCACAGCTCCGATCTGATTCGACACCAGCGGGTTCATACCCGGGAGAGACCTTTTGAATGCAAAGAATGTGGGAAAGGCTTCAGCCAGAGTTCCTTACTCATTCGACACCAGAGAATTCACACGGGAGAAAGACCCTACGAATGTAATGAATGCGGGAAATCCTTCATTAGGAGCTCAAGCCTTATTCGACATTATCAGATCCACACGGAAGTGAAACAGTATGAATGTAAGGAATGTGGGAAGGCCTTCCGACATCGCTCAGACCTCATTGAACACCAGAGAATTCACACTGGAGAGAGGCCCTTCGAATGTAACGAGTGTGGGAAAGCCTTTATTCGGAGCTCGAAGCTTATCCAGCATCAGAGGATCCACACTGGAGAAAGGCCTTATGTTTGCAACGAGTGCGGGAAGCGCTTCAGCCAGACATCAAACTTCACTCAGCATCAGAGAATTCACACTGGGGAGAAACTCTACGAATGTAACGAATGTGGGAAAGCTTTCTTTCTGAGTTCATACCTTATTCGACACCAGAAAATTCACACTGGAGAGAGGGTATATGAATGTAAGGAATGTGGGAAAGCTTTTCTCCAGAAAGCCCATCTCACTGAACATCAGAAAATCCACACTGGGGACAGGCCCTTTGAATGTAAGGACTGTGGGAAAGCTTTCATTCAGAGTTCCAAGCTGCTTCTACACCAGATCATTCATACTGGAGAAAAGCCCTATGTGTGTAGTTATTGTGGGAAAGGCTTTATTCAGAGGTCAAACTTCCTTCAACACCAGAAAATTCATACTGAAGAGAAACTCTATGAATGTAGTCAGTATGGGAAAGACTTCAGCTCGACCCCAAACTTTAAAAATAACCAAGGTGCTCACCAAGAGGGACTTCCCTTGAGTAAGACCCCCGTACATCTGGGTGAGAAGTCTGTAGGACAGGGGGCACATACAGGTAACTTATAAACTAATGATTCTGCAGCTCAGTGAGTGATATTTGGAAGTGTGTCATGAGCCCTCATTCGTGTGACTTTGGATGTGTCTGCATTTGCCAAAGTCATGGATGGGGCTGTGTTAGGAGTGCTTTGCAGCGGTGCTGGACTGCTGTCCCCTTCCTCAGCTAGGAACACATGTCCTCAGGAGAGCCACGGGACTGGACAACTGATTCTGAGCTGGATCAATTTGGGAGGAGGAGCTAGTGCTCCAGGTTTCTATATTTTATTGCACAATTACAGTTCACCCCTGACTTAAATCCCTTTTAAAGGAGAACTGTGTATTCAATCTTACTACTTAAAAGAGTATTGTGTAGCAAATTTTGGTCTGTCAGAAAGGCAAGTTGGAGAAAGAAACTTTCTTATCTAAAACCATATTTGGTTCCTGGTGGTCCTCAGGATGCATTCTAAGTCCCTCTCCTGCGTCCTAGGCCTTTTGCTTCCCGGAGCCTCGTCTCCCATCGCTTAACTCCCTCCACAAACCTGGCCCTGCAGCAGCGCTGACTGATGCTCCCACATATCCAACTGTCCCCCCTGGCCTTTGTCCTTGTTTGAATGCTCTCTGCTCACCTGCTTAACTCTTCATCATGAGTCAAGATGCATGTCGGGTATGTCAGGCTGAGCCTCTCCGTGTACTTCTGTCACTCAGTTCTCACCTCTACTACTGACTTAACTTTGATTATCAGAGTTACGTTTTTATATACTTTCTCTTTCATTATTACACTGTTAATTCCTTAAGGACAGTGATCATATCTGATTGCTTTATGTGTCTCTGGCATCTAGTGCAAGACAATAAAAAGCACCCCCGAATCTGTGTGTAACTGGCACCTCTCTTTGTCCTTTCTATACTGCTATTTTTTAAGCTTTTGGATTTTGTTCTTGTTTTTTAAAGTGTAATCTGCTGGTCTACTGGAAATACCTACTCTCAGCCCTGTTGATGTCTCCTGCTTGTACTCAAGCCAGAAGTGGCAAGTGGTCGCCAGTATGAGACCAGCGCCCTCATATTCACTGCCTTTAGCGCTCTTTACCTATGATCATGCACTTGCTGTGGGGGAGAGTGTCTTCCCTTAGTTGTCTGTGTATCTTCCTAATTCACTCAAGGGGCACACAATCTCAGTGCACTGCACAACTTTCTGTCTTAGTTCCATGACGACTGAACTCAACCCTTCTTTCCCTGCTCTCTGGCTCATTTTGTCATTTATTTGACAATGTACTGATCTGTAAGGACCGCTGCTGAGTGCTGGGAAAACATGAGGAAGACACCGTCCATCCTGAAGTCATTCAGAGTCTGATGGGGAGGACAAAGATCATGGTACACTGAGCAAGGTGTTGAAGAAGTGTGTTCCCAGTTGTGTAGGAGCGTAGGTAAGGAGGTGACTCATGTAGCGTGGAGGACCTGAGACGGCTTCACACAAGAGGTGGCATTTGAACTGGTCGACAGAGAGAAGCAAGCACTGTCCGCTAGAGAGGAAAGAATCCGCAGGGACGGGGGTGGTGCAGACCCCTCTGGATAGAGCTGTGCAGAGCAGGCGAGTTACCACACAGTGGAGTCATCACTGTTGCCTCTGAATTTCTTTTATCTGAACATTAACCGAAACAACCAGTTTGGAAATTATATAAACAATTGGTTTTTTGCCCATGAAGGCATATTTAGAGTTCTTAACAAGTTTCAGCAAACCTAGAAGCCTTGAGGGAGTAAATCATTCTTAAAGGGCTTAAGTACTCCATCTGGAGAGCTCACCATTCCAAGTGGTGTGGACGCAGGGATTCCCATCACCAACCTTGCTGAGGTCCAACTTCCATACAGTAAGCACCTGTTAAGTGTATAGAGTTTTGACAAATCCATACACTGGTGTAACCACCATCATAATCAAGAAAATGACATTTCTATTGTCCCAAAATGTTCCCCTTTGCCCTTCTTAGTTAATCCCACCCCAGCCCCTTTCTGTGGGTATAGATTAGGTTTGCTTGTTCCAGGGCTTCATATAAGTGGATGCATATAGTAAGTAACCTTGTGTGTTTGACCTTCACCTTGGCATGTTTTAAAAACAACCAAGCAGGGCCGGCCGAGTGGCGCGTTGGTTAAGACCTGGCTTGGGACGCCAGAGGGCCCCGGTTCGGATCCCACATATGAGGGCCAGTGACACTGCCCTCTACAGCTAAGATGCTGAACAACAGCTCAATCTGGAGCTGGGCTGCCGTGAGTCGCTGGCGACGGCGTAGGCTGCAGCCCCTGCTGCAGTGGGTTGCCACGGGCTACCGTGTGTAGCCAGCAGCCGCAGTGAGCGGCCGTCCAGAAGCTGGCGACTGATCTGCCTCGCCCGGGAAGAGCGCAATGATGGTGCCAATTTGGGCAGTGAAGCAACGTCCTCCACAACTAGACTGAAAAACAAAACGACAGCAAGTTGTCTGTTCCCCTTCCCCCAATTCCCCAGCACTGTTCCCATGCCCCCAATTCCCCAATAAAAATCTTAAAAATAAATAAATAAAAATAAAAACAACCAAGCATAGTTAAACGTGTCACATAGCTCCTCTGCCCAGTTGTCTTCCATTGTATGGACAAGCCATCATTTGTTACTCATCTGTTGGTAGAAATTTGAGTTTCCAGTTTTGGCTCTTATGAATAAAACTGCTATGAGCATCTTTGTAAAAGTATTTATTTGAACATGGCTCTTTATTTCTCTTGGGTAAATGCCTAGGGATTTGATTGCTGAGTTATAAATGCCTTGTTAACTTTATAAGAAATTGCCAAAAAGCTCTCCATACTGACTGTGCCACTTTACACTCCTGCACCGCGTGTCAGGGTTCCTGTTGCTCCATATCCTCGCCAACACTTGGTGGTGTCACGCTTATAAAACCTAATCCATCCTAGTGATGTGTGTCAGTTTGTGTGGTGAGTGGCTACGCTGAGCGCCTTTTCCGGTGCGTGCTGCCATTCTGTCATCTTTGTGATGTGTCTTCCCAATTTGGCCCACTTTCAAATTGGGTGATTTGTCTTCTCATTATTGACTTCTAAGAGTCTTTTCCATATTCTAGAGAAAAGTCTCTTCCCATATACAGTCTTTAGCCTTATCATTTTCTTAATGGTGGTTTTTGACGATCCAATTTAAAAATAAATTTTTTTTCATTAAGTCCCATTTGCCAAGAAAGTTATCCTTTGAGTTCTGTTTTTTAAAAGCTATTCTTCAGTTGTTATTGCTAGTGTACAGAAATACATTTTTTATATGATGACCTTGTATCCTGCAACCTAGATGAGTTCACTTATTCCAGTAGCTTTTTGTCTAGATTCTTTGAGATTTTCTATGTAGCTCATCTAAGAATTTTATTTCTTCCTTTCTGAGCAGATTTGAAAAAACAGGACTAGAAATGAAAACTTATCAGACATTAAAACTCAATGTAGGGCCAGTCGAGTGGCTCAATTGGTTAAGAGTGTGAGCTCTGAGCAACAGGGTCGCCGGTTCGATTCCCACATGGGTCAGTGAGCTGCGCCTGAGCTGAGCTGTCGCTGAGCTGCCAACAGATAGAAGGATGGCTCAGCTGGTGAGAGCATGTGCTCCTAACAACAAGGTTGCCGGTTCGACTCCCACATGGGATGGTGGGCTACGCCCAACTCAATCAACTAAGATTGAATATGGCACCTTGAGTTGAGTGGCCAAGAACTGCTGAAAGATGGCCAGATGGCAACTGGACTTGGAGCTGAGCTAGCTGCACCCTCCACAACTAAGATTGAAGAACAACTTGGCTGTTCCCCTTCCCCAATAAAAAAATCTTAAAAAAAAAAACCCACTCAATGTAAGGGTTTAACAGCAAATTGAAAGCAATTGAAGGAGAATTAGTGATTGGAAGATATACTTGAACAAATTATTTGGAATTCAATGCTGAGAAACAAAAAGTTGAGGCAATATTTGTAAGAAAAATAAGACTAAGGATTTCCAGAACTGATTAAAAAAAAAGGACTAACCCAGGGCCGGCCGGGTGGCACATTGGTTAGGAGTTGGCTTGGGACACCAGCTCTGAGCAGCAGGGCCCCAGTTCGGATCCCACATGAGGGTCAGTGATGCTGCCCTCTACAGCTAAGATGGTGAACAACAGCTCAACCTGGAGCTGGGCTGCTGTGAGTCACCAGCAAGCAACTGCCTCACCCAGGAAGAGCGCAATGATAATACCACCATGGGCCAGTGAAGCGACGTCCTCCACAACTAGACTGAAGAACAAAAGGACAGCAACTTGTCTGTTCCCCTTCCCCTATTCCCCAATAAAATGTTTTAAAAAAAAAAGGGGGCCGGCCGAGTGGCTCAGCTGGTTAAGAGCTCACTTGGGAGCACCAGCTCTGAGCAGCAGGGCTGCAGTTCAGACCCCACATTGAGGGCCAGTGATGCTTGCCCTCTACAGCTAAGATGATGAACAACAACTCGACCTGGAGCTGGGCTGCTATGAGTCGCTGGCAATGGTGTAGGCTGCAGCAGGGCTGCAGTGGGCTGCCGTGAGCTGCATGAGTGGCTGGCAGCCAGCGCGAGCGGCTGGTAGCCGGTGTGAGCTACTGGGAGCTGCTGTGAGCGGCCGACCAACGTCCGATGACCGATTGCCTCACCTGGGAACAGCACAATGATCATACCTACATGGACCAGTGAAGCGATGTCCTCCACAACTAGACTGAAGAACAAAACAGCAATTTGTCTACCTGTCTGTTCCCCTTCCCCGATTCCCCAACGCTGTTACCCTCCCCCCAATTCCCCAATTAAAAAAAATATATATATATGTGAAAAGCAAAAATGGAAAGAAGCACAAAGAACTGACATTCCATCATCAGAGTGAGATTTTGCTAAACATTGATAGCATGTGTTCCAGTTGGGATGCTGCCACAGCTCACCCTGTGACCTGACCCACCTCATGCTGCCCACTCCCCTGCCTGTGGCCACAGTACCTTAATGTAGGAGAATGTCCCTGTGCTCAGGAAGCTAGGATTTAGAGTTCAAGGGGCATGACATCAGCGTCACGAACCTAATCTGAAATGATGGGGGGGGGGAGGATCCACAGACGCACACACCAAAGGGGCAGAAAGCAAACTGCTGGTAAGTCTGGATAAATGGTATATGGGTCTTCCAAGGACCATTCTTGCAACTTCTCTCTAAATTGGAAATCATTATCAAACCGCAGCTGGCACAAACACACTGGCCCTCCTGTTTGCAAAGCGCAGTTGCCAGGCTCCTTTCCTGCTTCCCATTAACCATGCCAGCGATGCCCATCTTTGCCACCACTGTCAGCCCTTGTGGGCAGGACGCTGATGTGGCTGACTTCCTCTGCTGGGGCAGCTGGAGATCTGCTGTGGCATGGAGGGATGCTGGATTCCAGCGACACCCTGGGCGAAGGGCACATCAAGCTACCCTGCAGCTTGGAAACTGGAAGCAGGAATGAGTGGCCCTTGCACGGACGGGAAATACTGGATCAACAAAACAGGCGCTGCCAGAGCGGCGTGGGAGGTCACACCTTTATTAACAATTGGCATTCACCAACTATGCGTCCTGCGCACCGGTGTCCCCCACCCCTGGCCTCACTGGCCTTCCTCCCGGTAGGTTCAAGCTGCAGCATCAGTGTTCACGGTCTCCTTCAACTGGTGGACGGGAAGAGCCTGATCCGGGGGCAGACTTAGCAGAGGGAGTGATGTTCTCTGAGGCCACACGCAGTGAGGTCCGCGAAGAGACCCGGAAGCAGGATGGGACGGGGTCAAGGACGGGACCCGGGAGCCAGGGCAGGACGGGGTCAAGGACGGGACCCTGGAGACCGCACGCGAAGAGACCTGAGACCGGTTCTTGGAGGCTGTGCGCGACGGGCTTTTGGAGGAGGTGAAAGACCCCGGTCGCGAGGCGGGAGGCGGCGGTTGCCACAGCGCCGGGCCCCCGGCGCCCCGGCGCAGCCAACCATGCACACGCGCCAAGTCCCGCGTGTTCTCGTGCTCGCGCCGCAGCTGCTCACGCTGCTCTAGCAGCTGGCGCCGCGTGTTACGCAGCAGCTGGGCCCGGCTGAGCAGCCGCAGCAGCTCCTGCCGCAGGCGCCCATTGTCCGCCTTGATGGCATACGTATGCGCGATGAGCGCGCGCGCCGCCTCCCGTTCCGCGCGCCGCGCCAAGGACAGCACGCGCTGGCGCGCCTCGCGCTCGAAGGCCGCCTTGTCCTCCAGGAAGCGCCGCTTCACGCGGTGGAGCAGCTGCGTGTGCTCCACGCGCATGTGCAGAAGCTCGCGCTCCAGTGTCCGGATCCGGGCCAGCTGCTCCAGCTGCAGTTCCTGCAGCGCCGTGCCAGTCAGGGACTGGTGTGGCGCGCGCCCAGCCCGCCCGGCCCCCGGCCTGGCTCTCCTGTGGTCGCGCGCTCACTGACCTTATAGGGCTGCAGCTCCTGCACCTGCTGTGCCATCTGCGCCGCGCGCGCCTCCATCTCCAGCAGCTGCGCGCGCACCCCGTCCTCGCGCCCGTGATAGAGAGAAGCTAACTCCGTCCGCTGCCAGTGGACCTGTGCCAGGTCCACCCGGTTCTGCTCGTCCAGCCGTATGATGGCATGGGCGCAGCGCTGCGCACGCGCGCTCACATAACTGGCGTAGAGCCGGTTTTCCTCGCGCAGGCGCAGCGCCTCGCAGTCCAGGAAGGCGTTTTCCTGCAGCACCTGATCCACGCGCTCCTCGCAGGCGTTCAGCTGTTCCGACAGCAGCTTGTACTCGCGCTGCAGGTACTGCGCGCGCTCCGACAGCGGCGGCTCGGCGCCCTCTGCCCCTGGGTGGCGTCCCGCGCTCTGGCCTCGCTTCCTGGGCGCCATGGGTCCCGGCCTGGCGCACAGGGACGCGTGAAGGCACCACACCCAGCCCGCCCCTCCAGCTCAGCCTTTCCCTCCCCAAGCCTGACTATTCTAGCGTGGTGGGATGCGTCTCAGGGTCACGAGATTGGGAGAGGCAGAATCAGGGGCATGGGGTTAATTAGGGGTCAGGGGACCGCGGCAAACCTTTACTGTGAGCTCCTTAGGGACCTAGGTCATCCATCGGGGTGCGCCCATTTTGAGTCATGTTGGCGTTCAGCCCGTACAATCTCCATGGAGACAGAACTTAGTCGCCCTTCCCCACGATCACTCCGTTGCTTGGACAACGGCCCTACTTTCCTCCATTCCTCCCAACTCCCTCGCCCAAAGTCGGCGCCTCACGTACTGTTTTGTGCCCTGTACAGGCTGGGCCGAGCCAGGCAGGGCTTTGGCTTCTAGAGGACCACATTGGACTTGCTTCAGAATCTAACAGACTCAGCAGCAGCTCGAGTAGCCCCAACTCTCCACGTGCCAGACTTGGGCCCTTCGCTGTATGTCCACCAATGGGCTCTTATCCCCATGGCCCCCAGGGGGGGAGAGGCTTGACCAAGTTCCTGGCCTTCAGCCTTGAGCAAGCAAGCCCACCCCACCCCCGCCTCCACCGCCAATACACACATGTGAAATCTGCCTTGACACCTATTTTGGTGCTGTCATCATATAGCTGAGTTTCTGTCCATGTCTGTGCATTTGCTGCCGTATGGGCAGCTTCAAGGATTGTTGGCTTGTAACTTTATGGGCAAAACATGGTTTAGGAAACCACACTGGTAGGAAGGTGTCAACTGAAAAATAATATCGACTAGGTATTTCGTCACCAAAAAGGATTTATTCGGGAATAAGAAAAGGGTTGCAGCCCAGCTCATGCAGACATGGCAAGCCACACGCACATTCTGGCCTGCTTGCCAACATGGAGAGCTATTTAAGGAAGTTGGAAAAAGGAAGTGAGAGCCATAGAGCTTTATTATAAACAGAGTTCTTCCTGTAGGGTCCTCGGGTGAACTTCCCTAAGCCCTAGCTCCTCCCATAGACCCTCTGCCCCCAACCCCACCCTATTATATTACTTAAAGTTCCAGTTAGTCTTTATCAAAGACGCTGTTGAAAACTATCTTAGCGGGTTGATTTCAGCGCAGTGGTAATTCACTCATATGGCTGGACATGCTCTAGTTAGGTACACCTGCACGAAAGGCAAAACCTCTTAAAATTAGGAACACAATTGAGGCATTTTCCTCCTTGTTAAAAAAAATGTGTTTTATAAATAAAATGACATAAACTTCAAGACAGTGCAGAATCTCTGTTTTAACATTAACATATTAAAGAAACGGTGCTCATAAACTCCTAAAACACCACCCGAATGTTGGCTGTAAATGATATGGGGTTTTAATAATGATATTGGTGCCTGGAGTGTTTTAGGAGTGGAGGGGCTGCCTGCGAGTGACACCCTATCAGCACCACCTTCCCAGAGCCCAGGAGAAGTAAGGTGGAGGGTGGAAAGAGGGTCCCAGGCCTGGACACGCACGTGCAAAGGCCTGGAGTTGGCAGACAGGGTTCAGGAGGCTGCAGAAAGCTCCTTGGGGCTAAGGTGGGGCGGAGAAGGGTACCTTCTCCGGAGGCCAGGAGGTTTGGCTGCGGCAACTCAGAGCTTAGAGGGGTTCAGGTGCAGCGCCAAGGGTGCGGGACTGTGAAGACCGGTTCCACCGCAGCCCGGGATTGAGCAGAGCTTGGGCTTCAAGCCCCGCCCCACCCCGGCGCAGGCGCCAAGGAGGCGCCGTGGCTGGTTCCCAAGGCAACCGGGTTCAACAGTTCCAGCTCAGCGGCAGTCAGCCGGCCTCACCGCTCCTACCCGCCGCCATGTGCGCCGCCGAGGTGGACCATCACGTAGCCCAGCGATACATGATCAAGCGGCGGCTCGGGAAGGGGGTGAGCCTGGGGAAGCGCCCGGGCGACCGTGGGACCAGGCCACCTGCAGGGCGTGGGCAGGGCCAGTTGGGGGCCTGTTCCCTCTCTATGGGGACTCCTGGCTGGCCTCTTACCTCCTCCACAGACTGGAGGTGTGGCCTTAGGCAAGCCACCCAGCCCCTCGGTGCCTTTGTTTCCTATAACAGGGCCCTAAGAGTGCCTATTCCCAGGAAACTTGTCAGGTACCTGGCTCTGGGAAGCAGGTTACAGCCAAGGCCCCAGCAGTCTCAGGTCCAGTGATCCTGGAGTGGTACCCACCCTCCGTCCCCACCCACTACCCCCAACTCCCGGGCTGTGTCTCCGGGTGCCCACAGGAGGCTCTGACAGGCTGGGCCCACCTGCTCTAGTCGCTGAAGGGGGAGGGCAGGTCTGGGAAGGGCCTGAGGGGTAAATGGGGTGGGCATGGAGTGGGGGGCCAGAAGGACGTGTGAGCCCATGTGTATTTGTTATTGTGAGTGAGTGAGCATGTGGAATTGTGTATGAGTATTTATGTGAAGGTGTGTGATGGGGGAGAGGAGAAAGCGGTTCAGACAGTGCACAAAGCAAGTGCAAAGGCCCTGAGGCCAGGATCTGTTTGGCTGTTGGGGAAACAGCAGAGTTGCTGAGACTGGATATAAGTGACTAGGGGAGGGGCCAATCACATGGGGTTTCGGGGAATTGAGAGGACTTTGGCTTCCATGGTGACACAGGAGTGGTAGCAGCCTTTGGTGCCACTTTACAAGGCTCAGCCTGCCCACTGTGTTGAGGATGGGGATGGGGGGAGGTGGCAAGGGAGATTAGTCAAGAGGTTTATCTGCACTAATCAGGCTAGAGATGGTGGCTCAGACCTGGGTGGGAGCAGCATAAATGATAGAAATGGTTGGATTCTGATGAATTCCAAAGGTGGAGCCAACAGGATCTGCTGACAGGCTGGATGGAGTGTGAGAGAGGTCAGGGTGCCCGGAGAAAGGTCAGGCTTCAGTTCCTGCCCCAGACCCCAACCCACCCTGGCCTCCATCTGCCCTCCATCAAAACATGATGGCGCCCTGGGCAGCCTGCAGCAGCAGGGGCCTTGCCCAGAGCCACAGCCCTCACCATACATACCCTTGCCCCTCGCAGCAGCCAGAGTCTGAAGGAGAAGTCGGTCTTCAGGGCACTCTGGGGGAGTGGGCTGGTGGGCTGGCAGGTGGGAGGCTGACGGCCCTCCTCCCCAGGCCTACGGCATTGTGTGGAAGGCAGTGGATCGGAGGACCGGGGAGGTTGTGGCCATCAAGAAAATCTTTGACGCCTTTAGGGATAAGACGGATGCCCAGGTTAGTGAGGGACGAAATGTGGGAAAGGATGGGGGTCGGGCTGTGGGTGTTCCCCATTGCTTTGGTGCCTGGAAACCCAATCACAGTGGGCTTCTGGCATTGCTCTGCCCGGTGGGTGTGTGACTGCCGAGCATCAACCCCTCTGGGTTCTTTCACGATGGCTCCTGCTGGCTCCACACACACTCATGTTTCTGTCTCATTCCAGAGAACGTTCCGGGAAATCATGCTGCTCCAGGTGAGTGGCCGAGGCCATCTGCTTGCTTCCCAGTCTCCCTAGACGAGGGCAAAAGCCCAGCCCCTCAACTGCAGAGCACAGCTCCTGGCCTCTCTCTGTAGGAACTTGGGGACCATCCCAACATCATCCGGCTCCTGGATGTGATCCGGGCGGAGAATGACAGGGACATTTACCTGGTGTTCGAGTCTATGGGTGAGTGAGGCTTCCTCAGCACCCAGCCCCACCTCTGTCCTGGCCCCCTCTGTATTTCCTCCGCAGCTCAGGTCCCTGCAGTGGCCAGCACCCTCACCTTGGGCAGCATCCCTGTGCCCAAGGGCAAACAGCTGACAGGTGTTAGCCCTTGACTGACCTTGGCGGTAACCACCTTGACCCCATTTCCACGAGGCCCCTGCTTTGTCCACCGTTTGCAGCTGCCTTTTCCTTTCTCATTTTATAAAACAAAGACATGGAATAAAGTATTAAAACTATTCCACAAACTGCTTGCTGCACTGACAAAGACAGTGAGCGGGCCTGAGATGCCTGCGGGGACCACTGGGCAGTGTGCGTGTCCAGGACACAGCCCTGAGGGTGGCCAGTGGGACCTGGGAACTGTGGGCAGTGGATGCCCCAATGAGTGTTCAGAGTAGGGGCCTGCCTGCTCTCCCCAGGCGCCCGGGCTGACAGCCTCACCCCCAGGTCTCGTTACTGACTTGCATGCCCCCCAGATACTGACCTGCACGCAGTCATCTGCAAGGGCAGACTACTGAAGGACGTTCACAAGCGCTACATCTTCTACCAGCTGCTGCGGGCCACCAAGTTTATCCACTCCGGATGCGTCATCCACCGGGATCAGAAGGTATCTCCCGCGCGCCTGCCACTGTGCCCCTGTGTGCACCCACCTCAGTGTCCTCAAGCCCCAGCCCATCAGCCCTCAGCCCACTTCCTCTCCCCCAGCCGTCCAACGTTCTCCTGGATGCCAGCTGCCTGGTGAAGCTCTGTGACTTTGGCCTGGCCCGCTCTCTCAGCGACCTCCCTGAGGGGCCTGAGGGCCAGGCCCTGACAGAGTACGTGGCCACACGCTGGTACCGGGCTCCTGAGGTGCTGCTGTCCTCGAGCTGGTAACAGTGATTCCACCCTGTCCCGCCTTCTTCCTGCAGGTTCCCCCCACACACACACACATGCCCCCTTGCCCAGCCAGGGCCCCCAGGCCTTCCTGTGCCCCCATATGTGTTCTCATCCACCCCTTCCTGGAGCCCTAGTCCACACACCCTTGAATGTCCCTCCCCACCCCACCTCTGCCTCTGGGGCCCCCCTGACGCCTCCACCCCTTCCTGCCCCAGGTACACCCCTGGGGTGGACATGTGGAGCCTGGGCTGCATCCTGGGTGAGATGTTGCGGGGAAAGCCCCTGTTCCCCGGCACATCCACGCTTCACCAGCTGGAGCTGATCCTCAACACCATCCCGCCACCATCTGAGGAGGGTGAGTGTGTGTGTGCAGCACTCCACCGGGCAGGAGTACCAGGCTGTGGGGAGACCATGCGTGATGAGCTAGAACTGGTTGGGAAGAGGCTGGGGAGGAGGCCTGGAAGAACAGGCTTGCAGATGCTGGGCCCAGGGAGGAGCTGGACAGAGTCTGCAAGGAAGGAGGACCTGGCCACGGGGTCCAGGACGGTCAAGCAGGGCCTGTGAAGGACAAGAGCACTAGCCCGCTAAGCGGTGGCAGGGGCCGGATCCACACTGTGCTGGGACCTGGGCACCGGAGGGTGGGGGCATGGCCAAGGGGTCCTCCCTCCTTCCTGATGAGGGAGGCTGGTGGGGCAAGAGAGAGGCCAGACCAGCTGGGCGGAGTCCAGTTCCCTCCCCAGGTCTCTCTGCTTTCCCTGGATGGAGATGTGTGTGCACGTGTGAGCACAGCCACGTGTTGAGGGTTTAGAGGTGTGCAAGGGCAGGCACACACGTGGGTGCACATCCAGATAGTCGGGGTCTGGGCCCTACCAGACAGCCCCACTACTGGAAGAAGAAGTTCGCTCCATGGGCTGGCTGGCCCCAGAGCTCCCTGAGCTGCCCACCAGAACAGGGCCTCCTGATCACACCCCCTTCTGCCACCCACCCCGCAGACCTCCTGGCTCTCAGCTCAGGCCACAGTGCCTGGATTCTGCACCACCTGGGGTCCCGGTGAGTGCAGGCGCTTGGGAGTGGGGCTCCTTGCTGGCCAGTCAGTGCCAGCCCAGACCCCTGCCTGCTCTCCTGAGGGCAGTCCCAAAGCCAGCAGCTGTTGGTCACAATAAAAAGGAACACCTAGTGGGGACCCAGCTCAGCCTGGGGCGAAACCGCAGGTGCTGCTTTGGGCTGGTGGTGGGGAGTGGCCTGGAGGGGACCAGGAGGCAAGGCAGGGGGCTTGAGACCCTGCCAGGCTGCCTGATGGTCCTGTATGGGTTGAGGAGACAGTTAAGTGGGTCAGGGCACAGGGCTGAGCCTGGGCCACAGGTGGGGAGGGTCCCCGACCTGGAGACAGGACGATCCTGGGTACCCGCAGCCCGCGGCAGACACTGGACACCCTCCTGCCCGCCAACACGCCCCCCGAAGCCCTGGACCTCCTCAGGCGACTCCTGGTGTTTGCCCCAGACAAACGGCTCAGCGCAGCCCAGGCGCTGCAGCACCCGTATGTGCAGAGGTAGGGAGGAGGCGGCTGCACGCCAGGGCTGGGATTGGGTGCTCTGCCTGGGCTCCAGCGGAGGGGCTCGCTCGCTTGACCACAGCCCCGTCCTCCCTTGTCCTGCACTCGCCTTGCGGGCCCCACAGGTTCCACTGCCCGGCCCATGAGTGGACACTAGAGGCAGATGTGCGGCTGCCCGTGCACGAAGGAGTCCAGCTCACAGCCCCTGAGTATCGCAACCGCCTCTATCAGGTGATCCAGGCCGCAACCCCTCCAGGCCACTGTCCCCCTCAGCGACCCCTAATACCCTTCACGCCCACTCCGCACCCCTCTGAGCACCCTTCTCCTCCCACAGATGATCCTGGAGCGCAGGGGAAACTGCCGCATCCCGAGAGAGAAGCGACTGGGAGATGGCCCTCTGGGGGCAGAGCCCAGCGCCCCGTGGCCCCAGGTGCACCCCCTCAAACCCAGAGCCGCCCCCCTGTTGCCCTCGGGCTGGACTGCGCAGGACCCTGGACACAGGCCTCAGAATAGCCCCGATCACGCCCCTGCGCATGGTGTGTGATCGCTGAGCAGGGCCTGGCCCCTTCTGTGTGGGACCACCAGGCGCACCCTGCGTGGGGCTCTTAACCCCGGTTCTGATCTTCCCACCTCACAGATACCCCTGGCAGAGCCAAGAACGTTCCCAGGCAGAATTCGGCCCACCTGCTCCAGCCTCCGCCCCCAAAAGGACCGGGGAGAGGGGAAAGGGCCCCTGGGGCGACGGCAGAGTCCCCCTCGGCACCCTCGTGGGTAGGTCGTGTGAGGGTGGTCACAGGAAGACTCCTCCGTTGTGCCTTTCCGAGAGCCGGCAGTGACTGTGACGCGCCCCTTCCCAGGCGAAGCCCAGCGTGCTGGGGGCGGCGCCCTCCCTGACCTCGCAGGCCGCCGCCCAAGTGGCCATCCAAGCCCTGCTCCGGAACGGCCGGGACCCGGGCCGTGGGGCGAGGGCGGCCGGCGCGCGACCGGTGAGCCCACCCCCCTCCGGCCATTCCTCCCTCCGCGCCTCCCCTCGGCCCCACCCCGCCCCCTCACGCGGACCCTCGACTGCGTGCAGGTGCCTCTCCAGCGTCCCCGGGAGGTCAGGCCCGGCCGGAGAATGTTCAGCGCCTCTGCCTCTCAGGGGATCCAGGCGGCCGCTAGAGCCGCGCTCGGGGGCTACTCCCAAGCCTACGGTACCGTTTGCCACTCTGCGCTGGGCCACCTGCCCCTGCTCTCGGGACCCCGCGCATGACCCGCGCTTGCCGCCGCCCTCCCGGCTCCGCTCTGCGGGGCATCTGCGCCAGCCGCTCAGACCTGCGCCCCACCCCCGCCACCGGATTGCCCCCACCCTCCCTATTCCCCAGATTGTCCTCGTCCCCTCAGTCCACGGATTGGCCCCCCAAGTCCCCAGGGCTC